TTTGTGTGTGTGCAAAAATGTGTGAGTTTATATTGCTCTGTATGGCCATAACTGAAGGCACCATATGCTGCATACTTTATTCTGTGAATGAATAAAAAGAAAAATCCCAAATATCTCCTTAAAGAGCATAAAGCACTACAGAAGGTGTAGAAGCCAGTATGTCATACCCTGTACCCTCTGTAGTGCACTTACATAGGTATTAGAAAGCCTTTTGGGATTCAGCCAGAGACTGAATGGTTTAAAAAAAAAATGTCTTGGTTTGTTAACTCGAGGTTTTAAGTTAATTGTAGTGTTGAACTGTTTTTGAGTATTTCCTCTCCATTTTTCTATTTATGTTCTCTTTTATCATCTCATTTTGATCAAATGTTTAGTTTGCTGTTGCTAAAAAAAAGAAAAAATGCATGATGTTTGAAGTCTCATAAATACTGGATGAATATCGATTATTTCCATGGGGTTGTTTCATGGTCGCTCAAGTTTGTTTCATTTTCCCCCCGTCAGTTGCTGGAGAAAGAACAAGATTGCCATTTTAGTTTCGGAGAATTCTTTCTATTTTTCCAGACATGTGTCGGTCATATCTATTTCCATGCCGTGCCTTAAATATGACCGCACCCTTGGTGGGAGGTCGTGTGGTCGTGTATGTGTATGCAACATCCAAAGCTTCGTAGAGCTACTTCATTTTATTTTGCAGCGCACGGTTATATACTGCGCTATATACTGAGCAAAATTCTCTCTTAATCCCGTTGTGTTTTGTTCGTAAACCTTGTACATGGCAGAAATCATAGTGTTCAATTAACTCTTAAGGTATTGCTGTCCAACTGGTCTTTACACATTAAACATTCACGTGCTGATATACATGGTAGTTTACGCAGCAAGGTTTAATTCATTGTTTCATGTTAATTCAACAATTAATTCAAAACAGACTTGGAGTTCGGAAAGCTTACGTTTTTACATTATTTTTCAAGTTATCATTGTTTACATAGTTGGACAAATCATAAATCTATTAGCTAGCCCACTGGGCAAGTAAAACCTCCATGTTTTTGTTGCCCAGAAGTTGACTATACTAAAAAAAAAACAAGCTAGCATAATGTAATAACATATAACAAGCTAGTTAGCTAGTCAAGTGACTTAATACAGACGAAAGGAAACTTTATCTTCATCTAACAAAATTTGTAATGCAGCATATCATGTTTGCGCCCTCGACAAAAAGTCGTTATCCAGCGTTTTTTTGTCCGTGAGGTGTGGTGTTCCATCCTCGTATTTCACGTGAGACATTTCTCTCGATATGTTTAACCACGAGGTAAATGTGTATAGTAAGCAGGAGAGTTGTATCCCGACTTTTGCGCTACACTTTATTTTCCTTGGTCTCGTCAGTGTTTTCGCATAGACGCGTATTCCGGACTCCAAAAAGATCGTCTGGTATCCATGCACACTTATTAATCCGTCTAGTCGATGTGTGTAGTGCGGCAGGAGGCGGGATTTGGAACGAGTTGCACACACTATAGTTACAGGATCGAAGTAACGCACCACCATGAAACGTGTTGTGTTTAAATCATTTAAACATAGCTATGTACCAAATGAAATCTTTTGTTTTGCTAACATCTCTGCTGGGCAACGAAAAATTAAAAAGAAAATCTGTTTGTCCCAGGCACCTGGGCTCCTGATTTGTCCACCCATGGTTAACATTTATAAAAATGTATCAAAATTGTAACACTCGGGCTTCACATGCTCTGCAAATACAAGCCCGGGTCTGTTTAAATAACCTTCATAACCTTCCTTTCTTCACATTCTGTTACACTTTGAGTCTGAAAACAAGTGTAAAATCAAGATATGTCCCAAACACTAGGAACTGATAGTAGAGTACTTACTAGAATCCATCACGAATATTAAAAAATGTCATTTGGGACGGTGTAGAGAAGCACAACGAAGAGTCGTGATGAGCTAATTAGCGGTAAGCGAGATATCACTCTACATAAATCATGAAACTTAGCTAATTGTTACTGAGGGAAGATAGAAAAGGTAAACAAATGTGTCCTTGGCCTCTATGTTTGTTTTTATCACATAGCTAGTTTGAAATTATTTGAATAGTCGTAAGCAAACTTGCAGCTCACGAAGTATGAGCACCGCATGAGTGCTGAAAAGCGTGATTTTTTTTTGAGACGTTTCTAGTAAGAACGCTGACTAGACATAAATTCTAGTGTTTGGGACATGGAGCGTTTCCACATCTATCATGTCTGCCTTTTATTTGCTTTGCTAATCTCTAATTACGATATAATGAGTAGGTTATTAGCAGGATTATGTAGCTGATATGGTTTTGTTACTCCGAGAGGAATTGAGTTGTTGATGAAAGTGACCTGTGCTGAAGCTCTATATTTATTTGATCATCTTAGGACGACCTAACGAACCCGAAAAACCCTCCATAAGCAGTGGGTTTTATAGCAAGTGTATGTTTATATAAATAAACTATTTTAAATGTACTTCCACGTGTGTGTGTGTGTGTGTGTGTGTGTGTGTGTGTGTGTGTGGTGTCGGAGATGGTACATGGTTTTGTTGTTTTATATTTTTGCCATTTCTTGAAAATGAAAATGGGAAAGAACGCTGATTAGTATTTTGTATTCTTTATTATCCATATGTTGTGTATGATGCATGATTTCTAGAGTCCAGCTATTCAGAAGGTTTTAATGCATTTAATGCATAAAACATTCATAAATTAATTAACAACTTCACAATTACTACAAAATTACAAAATATTAAATAGGATTTAAAAAAAAAAAAGAAAGAAAAAAGGCATATAAATACGTATGAAGTCCTGTATATAGATTTTCAATGAACTGAAAATAGCAGACTTAAATAGTCTTAAATTTAATAATAAAAATTAAACATGAATAATTAATTTAAAAAAAAATACAAATTATATATATAACAAATTCCAGTTGCTGAAAACAAATATTAAACATCATCTCAGTGTCACTGTATGAATTTGTTCTCAATAGATTAAAAAATACTATAAAAAAAAGATTTACATTTACTAAAATTAAATAGAAAAATTAAGAACTTCTAATGAAAAGGTTCATAATTACTTGTTTGAAATGTCATTAATAATAAAAGCTGGAATTTCTAAACAAAACTGATTGATTTAAATGACAAATTTAAAAATCTGAGTCATTTGTTCTTGTCTTGTTTTATTCATTTACCTGCATGTGCTAATTCTCTGCGGATACACCAGTGTTTCATTTATACAATTATTCTCTCGCATCGCATTAGAATGATGATTTTTCATTAGAATATAAACACTGTGTTCGTAAGAACTGTGAGAGATGAAGTAATTAAATTCCCCTTTGAAAACTGAAACTAGCTTAGAAAGAGTCACATTTATCTGAGAAATAAAAAATACACTTGTACATGTACATGTATATACACTTATGAATGGTGGTTTCATTCAGGACCTGACAAAATCTTGTTAGAGTGAAAGAAATCAAGTACAGTACAAATACTTGTATACTGTATAATGTACACAAATATGTGTAAGCCTAGTCCATAACTTTTTTTTTTTGGATTTTGTTACAGTGGTGGAAATCATAACCCACATTATCAGAGTATTTAGGGGTCCAAGCACCAAAGTCAACTCGGACCTGATGTGTTCTGTTGGTAATAGTAACAGAAATTGTAATAGAAAGTGCTGTGGCTCCAAAAAAAATATTATTTTTGAACATTTTTAATAATATCCATGAAACAAATCCATACTGTGGGGGTCAGTGGAATTTATTTTACAGTTAGATGGGGTCCTTGGGTCCAGAAAGTTTGCGAACCACTGCTTTAGAATACAGTAACAGCACACCCCGAAGTGTTAACATATCCTGATGTGATGAATATAAATATGATATGAACAATTGTTTACAGGAAGCAGTCATAATTGTTTACGAATTCAAATTGAGATGACAGTATTAACATTAGCTGCAGGTTTTTAATTACACAAATGTACGATTTCAACTTGACTGTATCATAGTTGGGCAGTGAACAACGTTAGAACGAAAACTTTTCCACACACCATACGTGGCTTTTTGGTAGAGGACTGCATGTGGCTTCACTGGATGAACAGAGCTCGCCAAACTTCGCCGATGACGAAGCATGTGAATTGGACCCTTCCAGATTTTTCTCTTCTTTAGTTGGGGCTCGAGTCGCACTGGCTGCACGATCTTGCCTGCGCACTTTAGCACGCCTGTTCTGAAACCAAACCTGAAAGGAAACCCATGCAGAGACTAAGAATCAGTGCAACAGCATACAGCACTGGCCATGCATTAGGCTTTAAAGAAGCATTTTGTCATTGTAGAGCCCTCTGCTGCCTTGGAGGTGAATTACAATTTCAATAAAACATTGTCATCTTCCTCCTCCATACCAGCTCAATGTTTCTAGTGAAATTAAATATCCCTTGCGAGTTAAATTTTAGCTAAAAATGTGCATTTTTTTTTTATTAGGGATTAATTTCATAATGCAATGTACAGTGATATCATTATTTGGTTCAAAATTTCAATATCGTAACAAGTGACATATTGCCCAACCTGATTACAGAATCACATCTCGGCCACAAGAGGGCAACAGCGATTAGAATAAAATAAAATAAATCTTACCTGGACGCGAGCCTCGGTCAGGTCGATCCTGTGGGCGAGCTCCTCGCGCGTGCAGATGTCAGGGTACTGAGTCTCAGCAAACACACGCTCCAGTTCCAGAAGCTGTGTGTGTGTGAAAGTGGTGCGCACTCGCCTGCACTTCGGCCTCCTGCCAACACCTGCAGCATCAAGGAGGTTAGGGATAAGGTAACATTACACTAGAGACATGGAGTGTTCTCAAATTTAACATTTTTTTTTATTAATTATTTTAAACAAGGATTAAAATGAAATGAGATGTTGTTCTTTTGGCTGCTCTCGTTTAGGGGTCGCCACAGCGGATCACATTCAATTATCCGCATATTGATCTGGCACAGGTTTTAGCCTGTCCACCCTAGTGGCACCCAGCGTGGGACTCAAACCCACAATCCTGAGATCAAGAATCCCATGTTCTACCAACTCTACCAGGAAAAGTGCAGAGTAGAGGTTTGCCAAGACTATAGGAGGCTGTTTAGGTCAAAAGCACAGTGAAACAATTGCACATAAACACACACACAAAATACACATAAGACACATAATACACATAATACAGGCTTTGTGAAACTCTTGCACGCCACGGACTACATGGGAAGCCCGGGCCTCCCCTAAAATGCCCTTAAAACGTAGCAATGAAACGTTTACCAATGCATTTATCAATCTTGGTGAAAATCAGTATTTTAGCAAATCTCAATTTCAAAATATCTCGTTGCAATATCACTGCGAAAATCTCCATTGAGGCCCATAGATGCCTATCTATAATAGTTTTAAACAACTAGTACAGCTTGTTATTTTAGATTTGTAATTTGTAAATAAATTGTAAGTTTGAAGTTATGTTTGCTTATCTGTATTTATTTTGTTTGAAATTTGTTTTTTGTTTTATTTTAGCCAGCTCTAGCTAGCTAGACGTCACTACCTTCTTCAGTGAAATTTAGCTAACTAATTCGCAAACGATCTGCGTTTTGGCAGACAGTGCTAATGTCTCATCGACCTGATTTGAAATGTAGCAGCAGTGCAATGCTTAAAAATCATACCGATACAGGTCAAGAGCTTCAGTTAATGTTTACCTGAAACATCAGAATGAGGAAAAAGTGTGATCTCTGTGACTTTAAGCATGGCATATATGTTGGTGCTGATTTGAGGGTTTCAGAAACTGCTGCTCTCCTGAGATTTTTTACACAAATCAGCCTCTGGGGTTTGCACAGAATGGTGTGAAAAGCAAAAAAAAACATCCAGGGAGATGCGGTTCTGTGGACAGAAACGCCTCGTTGATGAGAGAGGTCAGAGGAGAATGGACAGATTGGTTCAAACTGACGGGAAGGCTACGGTAACTCAAATAACCACTCTTTACAACTGCGGTGGACAGAAAAGCATCTCAGAATGCACAACAAGTCAGACCTTGGCTTGAGCTTAGCACTTGAGTTGAGTTAATAAACAAAATACAAAAAAAATTTTAAAAATCTAATTTCCAATGCTGAATGAATAGAGACAGCGTTGAATTAACTCTTATAGTGATCATTTTTGTTATAGGTATCAGCATTACAGGTGTTAATTCAACACTATAAGTGTTTATTAACTTTGTGGATATTTCTCAGCAGTCGTCTTAGGTTATTTTACCTATTACGCAGAGGGAGTTTGGTCGATCTCTCAGATTGTCCAGGATGCAAGGTCGTGGAAGAACAGGAAAAGCTCTGCTCTGGATAAAATTGACCTGAACT